ACAACCATTTGTCATACCCGTGGACTGCAAATGATTGGCCATATACATAAAAAGAGCCAGCCTGAATCTGTGCTTATTCCATAATAACATGGCCATTAAGTCATGTGCTCAGGCCTCCCGTGGCAGTTCATGGAGGAGATGCGTTTGACTGTGCTGACCCAAATGCCTCTGCTCGAACATCCCACTTCTCAGGGCATTTTGTGTCTAAATTTCCATACGGGCTATAGTCTCTTTCCATGTTAGCTCAAAGAAACCAATTCTCAGTTAAACTGCACTTCTGTACATGTACATTTACTGCTGATTGCGTCTCCTGTTGTGTTGGCATTGTTTTAAATGTTATAACTCTATTTAAAAGTGGATCTATTCTTTGCTGAACAAAAATGGTTACATTGAAAACACAAGTATTTTAATTGAGAAGTGAGTTAGCAATTTAAATGATAACGATGTTATATTTGTCTTCAAATCTAAGGATACTGTTTTTTCATTGTCCAATGATTAAGAATTAGAGTAAGTTGTAGCGATTCCAAGCACAAAAGATGACTATTAAAGTTATTTTTCAAAAGGAGATGGAAATCAATATTATACAAAGTATGGCTTTTTCCATATGCTGTTAGTTAGCAGACCAGTACTGTGAAGAATTAGAGACGGTCATATGAATTCAAAAATGGAGCATTGGGACCAGCAGACGGCATAATGGCTATGTCCCTAGACTTCCATATATTTGACCACAGTTCAAGTCTCGGACCTGGTGGCTTAAACTCATGTCGGGCATGTGTGCATGCGTGCATGCGTGCCCAAGATCCCCAGAGGAGAATAGAGGAGAAGGGATTGTGGCATGGCCATGCCCCCAGGGAGGTGATTTCTCACTTTCTGTCTCTCTGTCTCTCTCTCTCTGTCTTTCTGGCAAGCACATTGCACCCTATAGCAAAAACCTCTTAAAAAAAAATAAAGGGGGACCAGCAGTTAACGTAATGGCTATGTCACTGGACTTCCATGTAGTCGATAGTGGTTCGAGTCCCAGACCCGGTGGCTTGAACTCATGCCGGGCGCGTGTGCATGCGTGCCCAAGATCCCAAGAAGAGAATGGAGGAGAAGGGATTGCGGCGTGGCCATCCTCCCTGGGAGGTGATTTCTCCCTTTCTCTTTCTGGCGAGTGTATGCATCCTACAGCAAAAACTTCTCAAAGAAAAAAAAAAAAAGGAGCATGAAGTTACATAAAGTCAAGAAGACCTGGGGCAAAATCTCCCCCCCCCCCCAAAAAAAAAAAGAAGAAGACCTGGGGATAAGACCTGGGGCTAACTCCAGTTCTGCCACTTTCTAGCTATGTGACTTTTACAAGTCTTTTAGCCCATCAGAACCTGGGCATTTTACCTTCTTTAAATAGATATTAAACCCCCACCTCATAGTGTTAATATGAGGTGTAAATGATAAAAAGGAACTTCAAAAAGTTCAGAGAGGGACTAGCACATGTTGTAATGGTTACATTGCTGGACTCCCACATCGTTAACCATAGTTCAAGTCCCAGACCCAGAGGCTTAAAATTCCCACCAGGCGTGTGTACCTAAGTGCCCAAAATCCCAAGAGGGGAATGGAAAATAAGGGACTGTGGTACGGCCATCCTCCCTGGGGAATAATTTCTTGCTTTCTATCTCTCTCTGGCACGCATACACACCCTATTGCAAAAATCTCTCTCTCAAAAAAATAAATAAATAAATAAATAAAAACAGTTCCTAGAAAGCTGGAATTAAAGTATGAGTTTATTCTTATGCAAAAATACTTCTGAAATCCATGCATAGTTTTTTTCACAATATTCAATTTTCATGGACTTTTTAAAGACTTCCTCATATTATGAATAAATGTATTTTAAATTACCAGTAAGTGTCAGGGGCCTTATGACCTTTCCTTCTTTAATTGTTTGGAGTTAATTCTCAAGTGAAAAGCTTTCACCCTGTTAAATGCACTCTAAATTTAAAAGTGCACATATATCACAGTCTTTTTATCTCTCTCTTTTCCGGAGAGCGCACATGCCCTATGGCAAAAACCTTTAAAAAATGAAAAAGGTATACATATAGTAAATAAATAAATAAAAAATTAAAGTACTATTCCTAGTCCTGTGTGAGCACTAGGTACTATTCTCTCAATCCTTGTATATAGTTATTTCCCTAACTGAGTGTCTTCCCATACACGTGCACTAAAATATCAGTAATTTTGCCTTCCAATTTTCCATTTCTTGAGTTAAATTTTAAGGGCTTCTTTGTTCATTATCCAAGTAATATATTGAACATAGAGGATATTTCTACTAACTCATCTTGGTTAGTTTCTTCAGTATTTCTTCAGTATATTAGTTTTTCAGTAAATGTATAGGGACAACCATTTGTCATACCCGTGGACTGCAAATGATTGGCCATATACATAAAAAGAGCCAGCCTGAATCTGTGCTTATTCCATAATAACATGGCCATTAAGTCATGTGCTCAGGCCTCCCGTGGCAGTTCATGGAGGAGATGCGTTTGACTGTGCTGACCCAAATGCCTCTGCTCGAACATCCCACTTCTCAGGGCATTTTGTGTCTAAATTTCCATACGGGCTATAGTCTCTTTCCATGTTAGCTCAAAGAAACCAATTCTCAGTTAAACTGCACTTCTGTACATGTACATTTACTGCTGATTGCGTCTCCTGTTGTGTTGGCATTGTTTTAAATGTTATAACTCTATTTAAAAGTGGATCTATTCTTTGCTGAACAAAAATGGTTACATTGAAAACACAAGTATTTTAATTGAGAAGTGAGTTAGCAATTTAAATGATAACGATGTTATATTTGTCTTCAAATCTAAGGATACTGTTTTTTCATTGTCCAATGATTAAGAATTAGAGTAAGTTGTAGCGATTCCAAGCACAAAAGATGACTATTAAAGTTATTTTTCAAAAGGAGATGGAAATCAATATTATACAAAGTATGGCTTTTTCCATATGCTGTTAGTTAGCAGACCAGTACTGTGAAGAATTAGAGACGGTCATATGAATTCAAAAATGGAGCATTGGGACCAGCAGACGGCATAATGGCTATGTCCCTAGACTTCCATATATTTGACCACAGTTCAAGTCTCGGACCTGGTGGCTTAAACTCATGTCGGGCATGTGTGCATGCGTGCATGCGTGCCCAAGATCCCCAGAGGAGAATAGAGGAGAAGGGATTGTGGCATGGCCATGCCCCCAGGGAGGTGATTTCTCACTTTCTGTCTCTCTGTCTCTCTCTCTCTGTCTTTCTGGCAAGCACATTGCACCCTATAGCAAAAACCTCTTAAAAAAAAATAAAGGGGGACCAGCAGTTAACGTAATGGCTATGTCACTGGACTTCCATGTAGTCGATAGTGGTTCGAGTCCCAGACCTGGTGGCTTGAACTCATGCCGGGCGCGTGTGCATGCGTGCCCAAGATCCCAAGAAGAGAATGGAGGAGAAGGGATTGCGGCCAGGCCATCCTCCCTGGGAGGTGATTTCTCACTTTCTCTTTCTGGCGAATGTATGCATCCTACAGCAAAAACTTCTCAAAGAAAAAAAAGGAGCATGAAGTTACATAAAGTCAAGAAGACCTGGGGCAAAATCTCCCCCCCCCCCCTAAAAAAAAAAAAAAAAGTCCTGGGTATATGACCGGGGTTTTACAAGTCTTTTAGCCCATCAGAACCTGGGCATTTTACCTTCTTTAAATAGATATTAAACCCCCACCTCATAGTGTTAATATGAGGTGTAAATGATAAAAAGGAACTTCAAAAAGTTCAGAGAGGGACTAGCACATGTTGTAATGGTTACATTGCTGGACTCCCACATCGTTAACCATAGTTCAAGTCCCAGACCCAGAGGCTTAAAATTCCCACCAGGCGTGTGTACCTAAGTGCCCAAAATCCCAAGAGGGGAATGGAAAATAAGGGACTGTGGTACGGCCATCCTCCCTGGGGAATAATTTCTTGCTTTCTATCTCTCTCTGGCACGCATACACACCCTATTGCAAAAATCTCTCTCTCAAAAAAATAAATAAATAAATAAATAAAAACAGTTCCTAGAAAGCTGGAATTAAAGTATGAGTTTATTCTTATGCAAAAATACTTCTGAAATCCATGCATAGTTTTTTTCACAATATTCAATTTTCATGGACTTTTTAAAGACTTCCTCATATTATGAATAAATGTATTTTAAATTACCAGTAAGTGTCAGGGGCCTTATGACCTTTCCTTCTTTAATTGTTTGGAGTTAATTCTCAAGTGAAAAGCTTTCACCCTGTTAAATGCACTCTAAATTTAAAAGTGCACATATATCACAGTCTTTTTATCTCTCTCTTTTCCGGAGAGCGCACATGCCCTATGGCAAAAACCTTTAAAAAATGAAAAAGGTATACATATAGTAAGTAAATGGTAATCATCCCAAGGGTAAATTTTGGCTGTGATATTATAGGTAATTTAGATTAAGAAGACTTCACAGGTTGAAGCCAGCAGGTGGTGTGATGGTTAAGGCACTGGTCTACCACAGTTCAAAGCCCAGACCCAGCAGCTTGAAAATCACGCCAGGTGTGCGTGGTGTGTTTGCGCATGCCCAATATCCCAAGAAGAGAATGGAGGAAAAGGGATTGTGACAATGCCATCCCTCTGAGAGGGGGTGGTTTCTTGATTTTTCTTTCTCTCTCTCTCTAATAAGTATACATGCCTTATGGCAAAAACCTTTTTAAAAAAAGAAAAACTTTACAGTGTGAATTTGGATTGGAATTTTTCTTCTTTTTTTTTAAAATTTATTTATTATCGTCATAATCTTGTTTATATTACATTGAATCACATAGAACTTTATAGTGTAGTACATTTCTTTTCTAGAAGGAATAGCATGCATATCAGTCAATTCAGAGACATTAAAATTCCCTTTTTAAGTCTTTTTGCTTTTTTCAAAGCAAGTTCAAAGTAAGTTACTGATCCTCTTTCATTTCCTTCCTAAAAATTATGCTTTGTTTTTTAATTAGGGCGAATTTGTTGCTTGTCTGCTGTCCCTTCTACGACAAATGACCGATAGACATTATCAACAGCTTCTTGATAGTTTCAATACAAAGGAAGAATTAAGGGTAAGTGACTTTTTAAAATTTCTTTAATATATCTTTTTACAATGGTTTTCTTGTTCTTTTTCATCACTGCTCAGATACTCTTAAGACAATTGCCTTATCCAGTTCCATTAAATTCTAAACTGCTTTTTCTCCACTTCATCCACAGATCTCTCATCTGTATTTTGTAAGATTTCTGTTACTCAAGCAATCTTATTTTGGAGAAGGACTTAGGATTTAGAATATCTGTCACCCAAGTTCCATAAACTAGAAACAGAATGACAGAACTAAAGAGATAAAACACAAATGGACTAACTCTAGTTAACTGGACTTAGAAATATTGCCTTAGTACAAGATACAGGAGAATATGTGTATTAGCTTGTTGCATCCCTCTAAAAGCATAGTGGAATTTAGGCAACGGCTCTGAGTAGAGTTATATGTGATATTCTTTATCAGCTATAGTCTAATCAATATGCTATCTGCTACTCTAACAAGCTAGCATTAAACAGAAAATAGGGATGTAGGTCTGTAAAAATGAAATGATTCTGAGATTTATTTATTATTCCGTAATGTTTCCTTCATGGTGTCACTAAAAACTTAAAATTAGAGTGTCCTCAGTTCCTACTGTTGGAGGAATGGTCTGTCATCTGTTTTTTTGTTTGTTTATTTGTTTAATTTATGATGATTAATATTTTTAATTTGCTATAAAGCACATGTGCTCACCAGAGGGAGAGGGGGAAAGTGAGAAAAAAAACCCACCAATTCCAGGTTCTAACTGTGATAGGCCATGTAGGAGTCCAGCACCTTAACTACCACACCACCTGCAGGCCCCCATCTGTCATCTGTTTTTATTTAAATTTATTTATCCTCCTTCACTTTGGTTTTCTAGACAACTTTCATATGTAAATCATCGTATTGGGAGGGTCGCTTAAATGCGAGGTGGTGAAGTACACTTATGCTGCAATGTGAACTTCTATCAGAGGATGTAGAATGTTTACCACAGTGGAAGAATCATTAGGTTTTTACTTGAAAAGTCAGTGACTTGGGAACCAGCAGTTAGCGTAATGGCTATGTCGCTGGACTCCCACGTAGTTGACCGCAGTTCGTGTCCTGGACCCGGTGGCTCAAAACTCACGCCGGGCGCGTGTGCGTGCGTGCCCAAGATCCCGAGAGGAGAATGGAGGAGAAGGGATTGTGGCGTGACCATCCCCCTTGGGGGGTGATTTCTCGCTTTCTGTCTCTATGTCTCTCTCTGTCTGTCTGGCGAGCGCACGCGCCCTACAGTGAAAATCTCTCAAAAAAAAAAAAAAAGTCAGTGACTTCATATTTCAAAATTTCCCATATGAAAAGACTATATATTTTTATAGAGCCTGGGAATTAAAAAGTAGCAGAAAGGCATGAATTGCAAGACATGATTTATTTAAGTATTGAGTTTTATGCTTTAATATTAACGTTAGCAGTAATAAGCAAATGGAAATAATGAGTGAAGTGTTTTATGTGAGTTTTATTCGAGTCAACCAACACAGTTTTCAAAGGACATATTATATTGCCCTCTTCAAAATTAGCTGGGCCTTCAGACCAGGAGAGACTTATTTAATGGTATCAGTCACTTTAATCTACCATTCAGGAAATACAGAGTGAGCAACTCAAGCACAGCAAGCCCTGAGCCAGACCCTGGGAATGGAATAAGCACAAGATGCCCTGTTCCTGTAGGGGAGGAAACAGGCAAGCAGTGGGCATTGACACCAAGTGGTAAATGCTCAGGGTATGCACACGGCACTGTGGGGCATCTGGCATTGCCTGCCAGCCCAGACTCACGGCCAACAGGAATGCTCTCCGGGGAGGTCTCAGCTGAGAACTGAGAGTAATATAACGTGCCAGACATGGCTGGGACTTGCAGATCTCTCAACTAAAATGTCACCTGAATGCCTTAACTGACACAGCATACGCTCTACCCCGCCTTTGTAAGCCTTATTAGAATCTGGAATATTTTTTTGGCCATGTGTATTCCACACCCTCACCCCTTAGGTTATAAGCTTCATGATGTCTGAAGCTCTGCCTAGTACATTGTAGGCATTCAAGAAATATTTGCTGGGCTAGCGCTGTAGGCTCGTGGTTAAGGGATCCAAATCCCACATAACTGACTACAGTTCAAGTCCCAGCCCTGGTGGCTTGAACTGGGCACATGTATGTGTGTGACCAGAATTCCAACAGGATGATGAAATGGAAAAGAAGGGGTTATGGCATAACTATGCCCTGTTGGGGGTGCTTTTTCTCTCTCTGTCTCTGGTGAGCACACATGTCCTCTGGGAATTAAAAAAGGAAATTTTGTTGATTGTTCATTAGAATAAAGAGTGTGAGGAAGAGTTGTAAGAGGTAAGACTCTATGAGTGAATATGGGTTTTATTTTGTGAACACTTTGAAGCTTTTAAGGGTTTTAGTAAAAAACTCTCAAAAAAAAAAAAAAAAAAGTCAGTGACTTCATATTTCAAAATTTCCCATATGAAAAGACTATATATTTTTATAGAGCCTGGGAATTAAAAAGTAGCAGAAAGGCATGAATTGCAAGACATGATTTATTTAAGTATTGAGTTTTATGCTTTAATATTAACGTTAGCAGTAATAAGCAAATGGAAATAATGAGTGAAGTGTTTTATGTGAGTTTTATTCGAGTCAACCAACACAGTTTTCAAAGGACATATTATATTGCCCTCTTCAAAATTAGCTGGGCCTTCAGACCAGGAGAGACTTATTTAATGGTATCAGTCACTTTAATCTACCATTCAGGAAATACAGAGTGAGCAACTCAAGCACAGCAAGCCCTGAGCCAGACCCTGGGAATGGAATAAGCACAAGATGCCCTGTTCCTGTAGGGGAGGAAACAGGCAAGCAGTGGGCATTGACACCAAGTGGTAAATGCTCAGGGTATGCACACGGCACTGTGGGGCATCTGGCATTGCCTGCCAGCCCAGACTCACGGCCAACAGGAATGCTCTCCGGGGAGGTCTCAGCTGAGAACTGAGAGTAATATAACGTGCCAGACATGGCTGGGACTTGCAGATCTCTCAACTAAAATGTCACCTGAATGCCTTAACTGACACAGCATACGCTCTACCCCGCCTTTGTAAGCCTTATTAGAATCTGGAATATTTTTTTGGCCATGTGTATTCCACACCCTCACCCCTTAGGTTATAAGCTTCATGATGTCTGAAGCTCTGCCTAGTACATTGTAGGCATTCAAGAAATATTTGCTGGGCTAGCGCTGTAGGCTCGTGGTTAAGGGATCCAAATCCCACATAACTGACTACAGTTCAAGTCCCAGCCCTGGTGGCTTGAACTGGGCACATGTATGTGTGTGACCAGAATTCCAACAGGATGATGAAATGGAAAAGAAGGGGTTATGGCATAACTATGCCCTGTTGGGGGTGCTTTTTCTCTCTCTGTCTCTGGTGAGCACACATGTCCTCTGGGAATTAAAAAAGGAAATTTTGTTGATTGTTCATTAGAATAAAGAGTGTGAGGAAGAGTTGTAAGAGGTAAGACTCTATGAGTGAATATGGGTTTTATTTTGTGAACACTTTGAAGCTTTTAAGGGTTTTAAGAAGAGAGGAACATGATCACATGTAATTGTAGCATAGAGTGGGCATGTCTGACAAAGACTAAATTAGTAAAGGGAGAGTTACTTGGAGGTTTTATGTGTAAATTTTGGTTAGACATTAAATAAAGGAATTATCAGTAAGACAAAGTACAACTTAATAGTGATATGTAATGGAAAATCATAACTGATACTGGGATTATGGCTAAAAATCCCACAGAACTCTACTATTTTAAAAAGTGATAAATCAAAGTATATGTCCCTCCACCCCCATGTCTCCTAATCCTCTGAGGTAGTTACTGTTACTTCCTAGAAGTACATACACTTGTGGACTGTTTTCTTTGCCATACATACATAAACACATTTTTTAAAAATGGAATTGTACTATTTATGTTGGTCTTTTTTCACTTAATAATATCTCATGGATATTATATAGCCCAGTACCTCATTTTTCTGCATCTTAATAGATACTACATAATTTAGTCATCCTCCTTCTGAGAGGCATTTAGATATTGCTGATTTTTGCCATTAGAGAAGATCTTGCAGTAAACATCTAGAACATATGTCTCTAGGGAGTTGCAGCCTTACTGGTATAGAATAAATTCTGAAAGCAGACATTTTGGGTATAGGCTATACATGTTTTAAATTTTAATTGACATAAATATATTGAGATTTTCCAATTAATATTTGTTATTATTTTTTTTTCCTAGCATTACTGGTTTTTTTTTGTTTGTTTCCTTTTCTGTTTCAGTTCAAAGAAAGATTTTTTTGTAGCATTTTTGAATGATTCTCTGATTCAAAGTGAATTTTGGGAGTGTGTCATTCTCGAGTAGCTACTGCCTGTTGATGTTTTAACTCCACTGGTGCCTGGGGAACCTGGTCCCTCTAGGGTACTGTCCAAGTGGCTTCCGGCGTTTGGAACAGTGTGCTGTTTCCTCCCCTTGCTTGGTCCTTGTGTGTGAGTGGCATGAGTCACAGTGTCAGAGCCCACGTGTGTGGGAGCCAAGACCTGAGGGCTAGCACTCCTCTATATTGCTTTAGTTTTTTCCTCTCTAGAATAAGACATTATTTTAAAATGAGCCAAACTAAACACGAGGTAATGATTATGTTTTTTTTTTTTTTTCTCTTTCTGTAGTCAGTAATGCTTTATTATACACCCACCTTATACCGGGGGCTAAAAGGTTTGTCCGTTTCTTTGGTATTTCATGTATATACAGCAGTGAGACTCCTGCTCTTTGCTGGTTATGACTTTTATGTGAAACTGTGGGGATCTTGCTTTAAGCATGAGATTATACATGGTCTGAAAGTGAAATACAGCATTAATTTAACTTTTCTTTGTCTCCCATATACTAGCCCACAAGCTTTCAAAAATCAGAGCTGATCAAGCCTCAGTACTTTAAAATCTGAGTACTTCCCATTACCTACACAA